TTCTCTCTACCTATGAGTCTGTTTGTGTTCTGCTTGTTTGTTTTGTTTTTTAGATTCCACATATTAAGTGAAATCACCTGGCAGTCGTCTTTCTCTGTCAGATTTATTTCACTCAGCATAATGCCCTCTAGGTTCATCAATGTTGTCATAGCTTTCATTCGCTTTTATGGCTGAATCTTATTCCATTGTATGTATGAACCACTGCTTCTTTATCCATTAATCTATTGATAGACACTTAGGTTGCTTCCATATCTTAAATAATGCTGCAATAAACATGGATGTATGTGTATTTTTGATTTACTGTTTTTGTTTTTTTGGATAAATACCTAGAAGTGAAATGACTAGATCCTTTTTGGTCTATTTGTTATAGAATTTGTTTTAAACTCTATTTTGTCTGTTGTAAGTATTGCTACCCTATTTTTTTTGCTACCCTATTTTTATGTTTCCATTTTCATGAAATATGTTTTAATATCTCTTCCTTTTAGTCTCTGAGTGTCTTTTGATCTGAAGTGCGTCTCTTGTAAACCACATACATAAGAGTCTTGTTATCCATTTAAACACCAGGTGTCTTTTGATTGAAGCATTTAATTCATTTGCATTTAAAGTAATTGTTGATATTTATTACACCTTTATTATTCATTTCTTTTTTTATTATATTTTATTGATTATGCCATTACAGTTCTATTTCCTCCTTCATTCCCCTCCACCCTGCACACCCGTCCCCCACCATTCCCCCACTTTAGTTTATGACGACGTGTCTCAAGTTCTTTAGATTCTGTATTTCCCATACTATTCTTGCCCTCCCCCTATCTATTTTCTACCTACTGTCTATGCTACTTATTTTCTGTACCTTCTCCCCCTTCTCTGCCTCCTCCCACTCCCCTGTTGCTAATCCTCCATGTGATCTTCATTTCTATGATTTTGCTCCTGATCCAGCTGTTCTCTTAGTTTGCTTTTGTTTTAGGTGTGGTTGTTAATAACTGTGAGTTTGCTGTCCTTTCATTGTTCCTCTTTTTTAATCTTCTTTTTCTTAGGTAAGTCCCTTTAACATTTCATGTAATAAGGGCTTGGTGATGATGAACTTGAACTTGACCTTATCTGAGAAGCACTTTATCTGCCCTTCCATTCTAAATGAAAACTTTGCTGGATAGAGCAATCTTGGATGTAGGTCTTTGGTTTTCATGACTTGGAATACTTCTTTCCAGCTCCTTCTTGCCTGTAAGGTCTCTTTTGAGAAATCAGCTGACAGTCTGATGGGAACTCCTTTGTAGGTGACTGTCCCCTTATCTCTTAATGCTTCTAGGATTCTATCCTTCATTTTAATCTTGGCTAATGTAATTATGATGTGCCTTGATGTGTTCCTTCTTGGGTCCAACTTCTTTGGGACTCTCTGAGCTTCCTGGAAGTCTATTTCCTTTGCCAGATTGGGGAAGTTCTCCTTTATTATTTGTTCAAATAAGTTTTCCACTCGTGGCTGTTCCTTTTCCCCTTCTGGTACCCCTATAATTCAGGTGTTGGAGTGTTTAAAGATGTCCTGGAGGTTCCTAAGCCTCTCCTCATTTTTTTTGAATTCTCATTTCTTCATATTTTTCTGCTTGGTAATTTTTTTCTTCCTTATGGTCCACTCCCTTGATTTGAGTCCCAGTTTCCTTTCCATCACTATTGGTTTTCTGTGCATTTTCCTTCATTTCAATTAGTTTAGCTTTCATTTGTTCCTCTAATTTGTGACTAAAATCAATCAATTCTGTGAGCATCCTGATCACCAGTGTTTTGAACTGTGCATCTGAAAGTTTGGCCATTACTTCATCACTTCGATTTATTGGCTTTGGGGCTCTGAGTTCTTCTCAAGCCATGTTTTGATCTGTTTGCGCCTGTTATGTATGAGGAACAGAGCCCTAGGTGTTCATCAGGCTAGGGCAACTCAGTCGCTGGTTTGTGATGCTGTATGTGGGGGCAGGGTCAGAGAGGGAGCAATGGCAGTCCCTTCTGCTGCTTCTCGCCTCTGCGGCCTGCGTGGTCTGTCTCACTGCTCATTCCTTTGCTGGTTTATCTGCGCGTAAATGTGTGACCAGGGTCAGCCTGCCACCTTGCGCCCTCACTGGGTCCGCCCATTGCTACCCCACACCTGGGATCCGCCCATGGCTGCCTGAGCTCCTTGGTTGGGGGATTTTTCCTGCCTGACCCCGCTCTGCTGTTGTCTTCGCCCCCTTTTACTGGTCTGGATGAATGGTTCATTGTTGTTGGACTTCTGTATAGTTCAATTTTCTGTGTTTTGGCTGTGTTTTTGTTACTAAAACTTTGTTGTCTTTAAACTTGGCTGTGCAAGAAGGTACAGTATTTCCATCTATGCCTCCATTTTGGCAGAAGTCATATTATTCATTTCTTAAATCTTGTTTTCCAATTTATTAAAGAAGATCCTTTAACATTTTTTATAATATTGGGTTTAGTGGTGATGAAATAACTCCTTTAGCATTTTCTTGTCGGGGAAGCTCTTTATCTGTCTTTCAATTCTAAATGATAGCTTTGCTGGGCAGAGTAATATTGGTTGTAGATCCTTGCTTTTTATATCACTTTGAATGTTTTGTGCCAATCCCATTTAGCCTGCAGAGTTTCTATTGAGAAATCAGCTGACAGTCCTGTGGGAACTCCCTTATAGGTAACTCTTTTTCTCTTGCTGCTTTTAAGATTCTCTTAAAAGTCTTTAACCTTTGGCTTTTTAATTGGTGTGTCTTGGTGTGGGTTCATATTGTTTGGTACTCCACACTTCCTGGAATTGTGTTTATATCCTTCTGATATAAGGTTAGAGAAGTTTTCTGTCATTATTATTACTTTTAGTCTTCACCTATGGATATTTTTTTTATTTTAAAGAATATAGGTAGAGGGAGAAAGAGAAAGAGGGAAGGAGAGAGAGAGAGAAAGTGGGGGAAACATCTATGTGAGAGAGAAACATTGATTGGTTACCTCCTGTATACATCCTGACCAGGGATTGAACCTGCAACCTAGGTATGCGCCCTAACCAGGAATCAGACCCACAACCTTTTGTTGTACGGGATGATGCTCTAACCAAGTGTGCCACCTGGCCAGGGCTCTGTCATTTTTTTCCCCTCCCCTGAATAGGTTTTCGATTTCTTGCTCTTTGTCTTCTCCTTCCAGCACTCTCCATGGTGCAAATGTTGATAACACTTGAAGTTGTTTTTGAGGCTCCTTACATTATCCCAGTTTTTATGGATTTTTGAAATTTTTGCTGTTATGATTGTTTTTTCCTGCCTTCTTATATTCCAAATTGCTGATTTGATTTTTCTCTTCACCTACTCCACTGTTGATTTCCTGTAATTTATTCATTTCAGTTAGTATATCCTTCATTTCTGGCTGGCTCTTTCTCATGGTCTCTAGGTCTTTTTTTATGCTGTTGAATTCTAATTAAGTTCCTTGAACATCCTTATAACCATTGTTTTGAACTCTGTATCTGGTAGTTTGCTTACTTCTATTTCATTTAGTTCTTTTTCTGGAGATTTCTCCCATTCTTTTATTTGGGATCAGTTTTTTTGTGTCATCATTTAGGTTCCTTTCTTGTGTTTGTTTCTATGTATTAGATAGTGCTGCTATGTCTCTTGTACTTAATACAGTGGCATTATATATTAGCTGTTCTGTAAGGCCCCGTGGTACAGCCCCCTAGGTCACTTGAGCTCGGTGCTCCAGATGCACCCTTGTGTGAGCTGTGTGCACTATCCTATTGTAGTTGGGCCTTGATTGTTGTTGGCACGCTGCTGGGAGGGATTGATACCCAGGCCTATCAGCTATAAGGACTGACTGCAGCTGAAGAACTGCTGTATAGAGCGTGACCCCATGGAGCAGGACTTGCCTCATTAGGACTTTGGTGCTATGAGTCCACCCCTGCAGTTTCTCACTCGTGTGGGTAATAGGCTTGTAGGTAATAGGTAATCCAGTATGATCTAAAGCTGTCTATCAGGTGCACTGGTTCTGGGGTCTCCTTGGAGGCACAAAGTCAGTCACTTCCCATGCCCTGCTGGGACCCCTTGGCATGAGCTGATCTGCAGATGGCTGCTATTTGTGCTAGGCTTGGAGGGTACTGTGGAGAGGCCAAGCTTCAAACCAAGGCTGGCTGCCGAGGGGCCAGCTTGGGGCCATGCTTGGGACCACTTAGCAAGAGGTATGGGGTATACTGAGGTCAGATGCTGCTTGTTTCAGAGATTTTTAGGCAAGTCCAAAGCATGTGCCAAGAGAAGCCATTTGTATGGAAAAGCCACTGGAAATGGCTTGGGTGGGCTGACAGATTGGCTGGGCAGGGCCTCAGGGAATCACCAGGGCAGGGAGAACAGTCTTAGCCAGGTTCATCTTAGCCTATTAATCTACCTCTTGATTTTTGCTGGGTACATAAGTGCTGGAACAAACAAGAATTAATAGGACATCAAGTAATTTTATAAACTCAGAGTTTGATTTTAGATGACAGACAATAATTCCTTAAGTTTTTATACCCTCTGTCTTAATATAATATCACCAACTAGCAAGATCAATGATACCCTTTTTAAAAGGTGCAAGGATAATGGAACTAACATCTGGTAGTATGTAACAGGCTCTGGGAAGTCTTTTTATAGCTTTCTCTATTTAGTCATCATAGTAACCTAAGAGAAAGATATCAGTTACTATTTTACAGATGAGGAAACTGAGACTGAGTAATTTTTCCAGTATTATGTTACCAGTTTAAATCAAAGCTAGTACTTTTCCCACTGTAATTTAATATGTCAGTTCAAGTTAGCGATTATTTTAAGTGCTCTGAAGTTAGTCTAATGTGGTTTATGTGAAAAGTCAAAAATAATCCACAGTATGAAATATATAATAATTAATTTTGGCCACTTTTGACATATGTATTATGTATTCCATGTTCAATATATGAAGGAAATTTTATAAATTGTACTATAATTCACTGGAAAACATAAAATTGTAAAATAGTTTAAAATATTTCCTTTTTTGTCTTTTAGATAAAATCAAAGATAAAATTAAAGAGAGAGATAAAGAAAAAGAGAGAGAAAAAAAGAAGCATAAAGCAATGAATGAGATCAAAAAAGAAAACGGAGAAGTAAAGATTTTGCTGAAAAGTAAGTTTATATTCATTGATTTTAGTTGTAGTGTATTGTAGTATACTTACTGGCTTAGTTATTAAAATAAATGTTATTTGGTGCTGAATTTTCTGAGAATAAACTGGTCAGAATATGAAAATTAAATATAATGGGGAGTATGAATCTGTAGAGTAACACATCTTTAGTATATTTATTTAGTGAGTCATTAAAAAGTAGTAAAGGTTAAGCTCCATTGAACTGTTAGGTTCTTAAAATTATTTAAAAATGGGTTATCTAATTTTGAGTTTTATTACAGGTCTTCATTCATATTTAGACTATCTAAAATAAAAGACTAAAGCTATTTTATAGCTTGATAGGGATGGCGAAGGGAGTGATCTTATAAATATTTGGCGGTCATTATATCATAGCCTGGGATTTGGAGGGGACATTTTACTGAGCTAAATTAGAATGTGTACTGTGTTACTATATGTTTCTTACATGCTTAAGAATATTTATTTTTTGTTTCTTTTTACTTTATTGTTATAATTGTTTTTAGTTGCTGTTTACACATGGAGGTGGGTGATTGGGTAATAATACAAATGCTATCAATAAATCTGATCTATTTCAGAGAGAATTTGTGGTAGAATAGAGGTACAGACAGTCTTAAATTCACTCAGCAAGGTTAGAAGAAGAATCAATGGCATTTGGTTGCTAGGCAGCTAACAAATTCATTAGTTGCCTATCAAGTTGACAATTTGCAGAGCAGAACATTTTGACTTTGATTAATTTCATATTGAGGTTATGGGTTCGTAAGCCTTTATATTTACATAAAGGAGGAAAGGGCATAGCACTACATGTACAGTGAAATAACTGGTTAATTTATATTATTTTAGTTAAACAGAGTATTAGATTCTGTATTTTCATTTCATTCTTTGTCATGTTTCCAGATGTTCTTTGGTGCCCCTTTATTTAAGCTCTGTTTTCTACTCTTAAGAACTTTATTTTCTGTAAAATTATGTCAACATTGATGAAACATGTCAGAGGTTAAGTTGATGGCTACTACTTAGTTAATGCTTATGGTCCTTTTCTATTTCTTTCTTTTTTTTTTTTTTTTTTTTGCCAGTGTGTGTTATTTGTGTTGTCTAGTTAGATTGTAAGCCTTTGGGGCAGGAATCAAATCTAACTACACCAATGCTGTAACAGTGGCTAATGATTAATGCTTGAAATGTTTACCCTAGTGGTTTAGTCATACAGTCATTTTTTACTGGTTCAGTCAGATAGTCATTTTCTTATTCATATAAATGTGCAGTGATGTAAATTCCTGTCAGTTGGTTAAATGTTAGATTCCTAACATACCATTACTGTGAAATATGTGAATCTAGAGGTTACATATGCAAACAAATTTAAAACAGCCTTAAAAATGGACTTTTAAAGTAACATGTAATAGTAACCTTGACTTTAAAGCAGATGAAAAATTTAGGAGATATTTTGAACTGAGTTAAACTGAAACCTACTGATGATAAGGGAAAAAAATGAAGTACACTTGGAAATGATTTGGTGATCTCTAGGGTGACAGTGGGAAATACATTTACTGTAAAGTAGAAGTAAATAATAATGTAATTACTGCCTTATAGGTTGTCAAGATTAAATGAGATAAAGTATGAGGGGAGTGCCAACTACAGTGTCTGGCCCACAGATTTTAATAAGTACAACCTACGTATGTGCCCTGACCGGGAATTGAACCCTCAACCTTTTGGTGTACAGGAGGATGCTCCAAGCAACTGAGCCATTCAGTCAGGGCTTTATGACTTTATAAACCTATGTAATCAATAATGTTGCGAGATTTTTATTTTGCTTTTATGACGATATTAATTTCATCTTCACTGCATACTTACAAATTTTTTGAAGTGATAATTTATTATTAACATTAAACTTCCCCCTTTTAGAATTGCTATCAACTTGAGAGAATTTATGTTTACAGGTTTGGGATTAAATGGTATTCATATGGTGGAAAACTTTGAAAAGGACGTAAGGGAAAAACCTGTAAACCTCAGGTAGTCTGTTGGTAAGAGAAATCTTTTCATTCATAGATTCACTAAATGTTCATCAGTACCAATGTTCTGGATGCCATGAGGGACATATTGTTGGGGGGGTATTAATTCACTTTGGATTTATATGAAAATTATTTGTTTCACTCATACTGTACAATGTCCTGAAGGACATATGATACATAGGTATCTTATGAGTGAAAAAATAACTTTATATAACTGTATCACATATATTCATATAGGCGGAATACAGAATAACTTAATAGTGAAGTGATTTCAGTCCCAAATAGCGAGATAAAGGAAAACAAAGTGAAGTTAATGGCAAGTGCTTTTATAGGATGAGTGAGAAAGAAGAGTTCAGTAGTAAATATTGGACAGTGCAAATGTGTTTTAGAAGAGGAAATGTCTTTGTCAGTAGTAGAAAGATAAGGTAAAAACTAGGTTATATCTTATAAGAAATTGTAAGTAGTGAAGATTGACTGGAGTATGAGTTTCTTGAGGGCATTGTCTTCCAGACTGGAGAGGTTATATTATTTATTGGGTAGGCATTGAGGCCTTTGAAAGCAGTTGAATCAAGGAATGAATATGATTAAAACAATATATAAAACTTAAAGATTAATATGTCTCTAGAATTCAGGATGAAAGACAGAGATGAGGCAGTTAGACCAAAAATTAAGGTAGTAGTAATCAAGGAAGTCAAAAATAATTAAGGATGAGTTGGATAATTTTGTCCAACCTTGGAAAGATTGAGAAGAATAATTTGAGAGAATATCATTGATAATTTGAAGATTCTGGGAAAGAAAATTTGAGTAGACTGGAAGCAGACCCACAGTTTAAGGGATGAGAATGGTAAGGTAAAAAAGAGAAGGCACTGGACATAGACTGTTGTTTACAAGAAGTTTGATGGTAAAAGAAGAGGAAAGAGCTATTAAGCAAATGTTTTCTGAATGGTAGGAGGGACTTAGTTTTGGAAAACAGTCAGGACATCTTACTCACTTGAGACAGGAATAAAAGAGATATATAAAGATGGAAAAATTTAGGTAAAGAAGTAGGTGGGATGATTAAATTCAAGAGGGTTATCTATAAAAGTGAAATAACAGGTGAAAACAGTTAAATGCCTCTTCAACTTAACAGCTTAATGGCTTTTTCATAATGTCTTAGGAAACATAATTTCTTGTGAGAATTTTTATTTTTTTCTATTTTTCCTACTGTATAGAAATAAATATACTATGATAATATTAAGCTTATATATATATTTAGACTTTATAGTTTTAAAGTCTCTGTGGATTAATTTTTTATTCTTTGGAGTTCTAAATTTTTGAACCCAGACTATTCTTTTATTCTTGCCTTTGGTTACAGAAACTCATTAATATATAAGCTTATCATACCCCATATATTTTTTTACCTTTTAATTCATCTATTAGTATGTGATATCGTTTGTGCTTAAGATGTGAGAAATTATTCTAGTTTTGTCATTTCTTATGGTATTTTGTAGGGTATTCACTGGGAACTTCGTAAACTGCAGTGTACCAAAACAGCCCATTTTAGATGCAAGAGTAGTTTTCTAAGGAGGAAGTATAGTAAAAAGCTAAGGATTTGCTCTGTTTGTTACTTTTATTACTAAGCAAGTATTTTTTTCTTGTATGATTTTTAGATCTTGATACTTACATGCAGTTTTTAAGGACTTAAAATAAATATGCTATATATTATCTCTTATATATATGATCATATATATCATTGCAAAACATCTGGAAAGCATTGCATTCACTTTTGTTCACCTTTTCATTTCCGATTTTCTACATTTAAAATTTGAAGATTATGCTTTCTAAAACATTCACTTATTTCATGATTTCAGTAAACACTGATTGAGCATCTGCTACATGTCAGAAAGGTTTAATTTTGTCTTAAGCCTTGGTATGTATTTGTGTGTGTGTAGAGAGGAGCAGAGAGACTGACTAAATATTTTCAATATTGTGTAAAATGAGTCCCAAATATAAACTTAATTTTAAGTAAACTTTGCTTATTTATTATAAAACAGTTCCTAAAGCATGGTTTTTTAAGTAACTAAAATACGGAGTTTCAAAAAAAATGTTTTCCCAACAGGTGGGAAGGAGAAACCAAAAACAAATGTAGAAGACTTACAAATTAGAAAGGTAAAGAAGAAAAAGAAAAAGAAACACAAAGAGAATGAAAAACGGAAGCGTCCAAAAATGTACAGCAAATCTATTCAAACCATCTGCTCAGGATTGCTATCTGACTTTGAAGATCAAGAACCTAAAGGCATCCTAAGTGATAACATAAAGGATTACAGTGGAAAGAATTTGAATACCAAGAACTATGATTCCAAAATTCCAGAGAACAGTGAGTTTCCATTTGTCTCACTAAAGGAGCCACGGGTTCAGAATAACCTCAAAAGGTTGGACACTTTGGAGTTCAGACAGCTCATTCATATTGAGCATCAGCCTAACGGAGGTGCGTCAGTTATCCATGCCTACAGTAATGAACTAACCCATCTGTCTCCTATGGAGATGGAGAGGTTTGCAGAAGAGTTTGTGGGTCTAGTGTTCAGTGAAAATGAAAACTCTGCAGCTTTCTATGTAATGGGTATTGTTCATGGGGCAGCTGCTTATTTACCTGACTTTTTAGACTACTTTTCATTTAATTTTCCCAATTCACCAGTGAAAATGGAGATTTTGGGAAAGAAGGATATAGAGACAACGACTATGTCCAATTTTCATGCTCAGGTAAGAAATTTTTAGTTTTTTTAAAAAATAAACTTTTAATTATATTTTTAGACAAGTTTCTGTTCTTTGTTTCTCATTTTGCTATGAGTTTGAAATAAAAAATTAAGAATATAATAGTAAGAAACCTCTTGGGATTATTAAGAATAAATTGCATTCTTGATGTGGACATCAGAATTTAAATTGGTTTCTATATATCTGTTTTTTCTTAAAGCTAATTAACAAAATAATTAAGATTCTGTTGTGCTCTTTCGTAAGGATTTGCCTTGGAAATGAAATGAATGAATTCAGTCACGTATTTTTCAGCTCTTACAAGAGTTTTCTTACCGGAAAATTACCTAAAATTATCTTCTTGGTTTATGTGATAATGCCTTCAATGCTCAGCACTGGATCCATCCCTTAGTAGATGGTGAATAAATTTTTGGCTACTAAAAATTATTGTGGAACAAAGGAATCATCAGTTAATTTTGTAATTATGTGAGAAAAGTCCCATATCAGTGCATATATCAAGCTAATTTTCATTACCTATTCTTCTCTAAGGTGAACATACATTATTTTAGAAAGCAGAAACAGAATTAAGTCTGCTGGCTTTTGAAAGGTAATGTAGGACCATTTAAAAGACTGATGAGGTTTACTCCCACTCTCACTCAGATCAGGCATTGCTTAGGCCATGCAATCAGCCAATTTTCACACTTATTGGTGCTAAAATGTCTGGTTTTCTAGGTAATAATTGCATTATTCTAGTTTGGAAACAGGAAAAAAGTAAAGAAAGTTTCAGAGGGATCTTAGTAATCATATATTCCACTTTTCTCAACTTAACAGATAAGCAAACAAACAGATAGGAGTAACTTACGGTTTTAAGGTTGGCAGCAATGCCAGGAATAGATCAAAATCTCCTTCATCTTCATCCAGGACTCTTTTCCTTATTCTGAATGTTTGTGTGTATGTGTGTGTGTGTGTGTGTGTGTGTGTTTTAAGTTATAGTCTCCACTTTAGGTGATAGTCTGGATATCCGATCACTTCCATGTATACCAAACGTCCCACCCCTACAGTATGTTTCATGTATATTCTTTTTTAATATATTTTATTGATTATGCTATTACCATTGTTCCATTCTTTTTCTCTCCTTTCTCCCTGTCCCCCTGGTACTGCCATTCCTACCAGCATTCCCTGGTTGTACATGTAAGTTTTTTAGTGTCTCCATTTCCTAAACTGTTCTTAACCTCCTCCTGTCTGTTTCCTACCTACCGATTATGCTGCTTAGTCCCTGTACCTTTCCCGCATTCTCTCCTTTCCCCTCTGATCTCCCCCCATGTGATCTCCATTTCTGAGATTCTGTTCCTGTTCTAAGTTATTTGCTTAGTTTGTTTTTGTTTTCGTCTTTTTAGGTTCAGTTGTTGATAGTTGTGAGTTTGTTGTCATTTTACTGTTCATAGTTTTGATCATCTTCTTTTTCTTAGGTCCCTGTAACATTTGTATAATAAGGTCTGATGATGATGAACTCCTTTAACTTGACCTAATCTGGGAAACACTTTATCTGCCCTCCTATTCTAAATGATAGCTTTGCTGGATAGAGTCATCATGGATGTAGGTCCTTGACTTTCATGACTTTGAATACTTTTCTCCAGCCCCTCCTTGACTGCAAGGTTTCTTTTGAGAAATCAGCCGACAGTCTTACAGAAACTTCTTTGTAGGTAACTATCTTCTTTTCTCCTGCAGCTTTTACGATTCCCTCCTTATCTTTAATCCTTGGCAGTTTAAGTATGATGTGTCTTGGTGTGTTCTTCTTTGGGTCCAACTTATTTGGGACTTTCTAAGCTTCATGGTCTTGTATGTCTGTTTCTGTTACCAGGTTGGGGAAGTTCTCCTTCAATATTTTTCCAAATAAGTTTTCAGTTTCTTGCTCTTCCTCTTCTCCTTCTGTCACCCCTATAATTTGGATGTTGGAGCATTTAAAGTTGTCCCAGAAGTTCCTAAGCCTCTCCTCTTTTTTTCTTTTTTGAATATTTTTTTGTTCATTCTGTTCTGGTTGAATGTTTATTTCTTTTTTTTTTTAACATTTTTTTATTGATTATGCCATTACATTTGTTCTATTCCCTCCTCCTTTTCCCTCCACCCTGCACACCCCTCTCCCACCATTCCCCCCCTTTAGTTCATGAACATGTGTCTCAAGTTCTTCAGATTCTGTATTTCCCCTACTATTCTTACCCTCCCCCCTATCTATTTTCTATCTACTGTCTGTGCTACTTATTTTCTCTACCTTCTCCTTCTCCCACTCCCCTGTTGCTAATCCTCCACGTGATCTTCATTCCTATGGTTCACTCCTGATCTACCTGTCCTCTTAACTTACTTTTGTTTTAGGTGTGGTTGTCGATAACTGTGTTTGCTGTCCTTTCACTGTTCATCTTTTTTTATCTTTTTTTTCTTTGGTAAGCCCCTTTAACATTTCATATAATAAGGGCTTGGTGATGATGAACTCCTTGAATTTGGTCTTATCTGAGAAGCATTTTATCTGTCCTTCCATTCTAAATGAAAACTTTGCTGGATAGAGTAATCTTGGTTGTAGGTCTTTGGATTTCATGACTTGGAATACCTCTTTCCAGCCTCTTCTTGCCTGTAAGGTCTCTTTTGAGAAATCAGCTGATAGTCTGATGGGAACTCCTTTGTAGGTGACTGTCCCCTTAGCTCTTGCTGCTTCTAGGATTCTCTCCTTCATTTTAATCTTGGCTAATGTAATGATGATGTGCTTTGGTGTGTTTCTTCTTGGGTCCAACTTCTTTGGGACTCTCTGAGCTTCCTGGATTTCCTGGAAGTCTATTTCCTTTGCCAGAATGGGGAAGTTCTCTCTTATTATTTGTTCAAATAGGGTTTCCACCCGTGGCTGTTCCTCTTTCCCTTCTGGTACCCCTATAATTCGAATGTTGGAACGTTTAAAGATGTCCTGGAGGTTCCTAAGCCTCTCCTCATTTTTTTTGAATTCTTGTTTCTTCATTCTTTTCTGTTTGGTCATTTTTTCCTTCTATCTGGTCTACTCCCTTGATTTGAGTCCCAGTTTCCTTTCCATTACTGTTGGTTTCCTGTGCATTACCATTCATTTCAATTAGTTTAGCTTTCAAATGTTTCTCTAATTTGTGACTATAATCAACCAGTTCTGTGAGCATCCTGATCACCAGTGTTTTGAACTGTGCATCTGAAAGTTTGGCTATTTCTTCATCCCTTAGATTTATTGGCTCTGGGGCTCTGAGTTGTTCTTGAGCCATTTTTGGTCTGTTCGTGTCCATTAAGTATGAGGAGCGAAGCCTTAGTTGTTTATCAGGGCGGGGCCACTCAGGTCGCTGGTTTGTGATGCTCTATGTGGGGGCGGAGTTAGAGAGGGAGCAATGGCGGTCCTCTCCACTCGCCAGTTCATCCCACCGCCCCGGCCTGTTTATCCGAGCGGAAATGTGGGAGTGTGAGCCCACCGCACTGTACGGTCTCAGTGCTCGCCTTTTCACTGTTTTATCTGCACGCAAATGCTCCACCGACCGCAGACAGCCAGATGCGCCTCTTCCCCGTGTCCGCCCGTAGCCAGCCCCCTCCGCACCTGGGATCTGCGCCTTTGGCTGCTTGCGCACCACCCAGTTGGGGATCTTTTTTGCTAACCCGCTCCACTGCTGGCTTCACTCCTCTCACCGGTTTAGCCGAGCATTTCATTGTCTTTGGACTTCGTATTGTCGATTTTCTGTGTGGTTTGGTTGTGTTTATTGTTGTTAAAACTTTTTTTTAGATTTGGTTGTGCGAGGACGCAAGGTGTTTCTACCTACGCCTCTATCTTGGCGGAAGTCTTGAATGTTTATTTCTTCCTTTTGTTACAGTTGTTGATTTGAGTCCCAGTTTCCTTCCCTTCATTGTTCATTTCCTGTATATTTTGATTTATTTCACTATCATACTATGCAAGTTTATTTCAGTCATCTTTTAAATGTCATGTTATTTTTTACCCTTATTCTTACCCTTATATTTCATTACTTTTATAGAGAGGGAGGGAGAGGAACATTGATGTGAGAGAGAAACATTGATTGATTGCTTTCTCTGATATACTCCAACTGGGGATTGAACCCATAATCTGGATATGTGCCCTTATTGGGAGTCAAACCCGCAACCTTTCAATCTATGGGACAAAGCTCTAAGTAACTGAACCACACTGGCTAGGGTTGTCATAATTCTTACATTTGCTTTTCAAATTTTCTTTTAAGGTTAGGAATTACTAATTTTTTTATTAGATGATAAGACTTTTTATCTAAATATGTAGTAAATACAGCATGAAAAACATGCTTTTGTTATTAAGTGAAATGACATGGTGATACTCATTAATCATGCCAGTATTTGGCTAGGTTGTGTGTCTCAACCATCACCGGTTGAATATGCTTGACTAATACATACTGCACAGAGAAGCTCTAGGCAGATGCATCTTCTCCATTACCAGCTGTGACTTGGGCACATAATCTATTTGATCTGTCAGCTTCAGGACCCCTTTTATCTTGTTAGCTTTAGACTTAATGGTTAGAAGGTGCAAGGTCCATGTGTTATTCCTATGTAGCGGGGAAGAATATTTAGTGAAAATCTTCCCTGAACTGCTTATTTGATATTTCCTCCACACTGGATTCTTAGTTTGGTTGGTCTTTTAAGAGCTTAAGTGTAGAAGTGTTTTTCCTATAAACTCTCCTCATGAAAATGAACGAGATCCAGAAGAGAGCAGTAGAACAAAAATGAACATACTTATTTTGGTTTAGTTTTATTTCAGTTTCTTGACTTTTCCACTAAAAGCTCTGTCTCTTAACCTAATTGTGTTACCCCTACAGGAAATGAATTTTTTAAAACCATTTATACAGTTTTCTATTTGGGAAAATGCTTTGTGAATTGCAGGACTCTTAGAGACATATATTTAGAACTAAAACAGTTTATAACTTGAGGCTTTTATTGTCCTGAATGTGAGAGCCTTTCTTTCAAATTTAATTTGTAGAATT